TACCTGAGAATTCCCCAGCCGAAACGGCTGCTGGGGCAAGAAACTTCTTGTTAGAACTTTCCACCTCCGGCTTCCCCCTTCACCTCTTTTTCCGTCCCAACCTTAGGAGACGCTTTTTCTCCCCCAGAGGAGAATTTATCTTTTTTTTTTTTTTTTTTTTTTCTCCCCCGGTGCTTTGCATTTGGGAAGAGGTGATTTCAAGAGTGGCCAGGTGGGACGCCTCTCTCCTTATTCGGTTTACTATTTATTGTTTGGGGTGTTTTCTTTTTAAATTCCTGTTTTGCTCGGCCCGGGGAGTTTCGCCCCCTGCCCGGCTCCGCGGCGCGTAGGATGGTGTGGAAACGGCTGGGCGCGCTGGTGGTGTTCCCTCTGCAGATCATCTATCTGGTGGCGAAAGCAGCCGTCGGACTGGTGCTGCCCGCCAAGCTGCGGGACCTGTCGCGGGAGAACGTCCTCATCACCGGCGGCGGGAGAGGCATCGGGCGTCAGCTCGCCCGCGAGTTCGCGGAGCGCGGCGCCAGAAAGGTACCAGGCACTGCGACTCCGGGGAGTGGGGGCCGCAGGGGCGGGAGTGAGCCCACCTGCTGCCGCTGCGGGATCCGGCGCCCGGGAGCTGAGAGTCGCGAGCCACCCCACTCCCCCGCGCCACCCGGGAGTGCTGAGCTAGTCGGTTTCACCTTGTAAATTTCCCGGGCACCGGACTATCTTTTTTGGCAGGTTCAGAGTTGATCCGCTCCTTGGGGATCGGTGGCTGGCTGGCTATTCACCCCCACCCTGAAACTTAGGAGACCCACCCATCTCCCACATTCCTGCCTCCCAAAGGAAGGTGTTGTGCCCCCCTCCCCCGCCTTCCCCCCTTTTCCTCGCCGCCACCCTGGTGAGTGCAGGGTGTGCGCGCTCCTGGGTAGAGCTGGGAGCCGCCTGCTAGCTGGCGCCTCGTATTTTCCTTGGCAACCCGCTACCCAGCCCCAACCTGGGCGGCTGCAGCTCTGAAGACAAGAGAGGGGGTAATTGGTTTGGGTTTGAAAAGGGAAGAGCGGTCTTGGATGTAGCAGTCTGGCCGGACCGACACTGGGAGGCCCAGGTGTCTGGAAAGCAGGAAAGGGGAGGCCAGGGTAAGCAGCTACTGATAAAGAGCCCTTGTTCTCACCTTCAACCCTGTCCCCTCCCCCCATCACACCCCCCAGGGATCCCTCCCCATTTAGCTGGAAGGTGGTGCTACAGGGAGAGTCCTGCCCACCAGACACTGCCTTTCACTTTTCGGTGGTCCCAGCACCCCTTGCTCCAGGTTTTGGAGACCTGGTGCTAGAGAGTGGGGAGGGTGAGCCGGCTGTCACCCAACTCCCAGCCCAGGCCAGGCTGACTCACCCGGTGACCAGGGCCATCGGGAGAGGGAGGCCGGCCCGGCTGTCTCCAGCCAGCTCTGTGAAGAGGAAGAGTGAAAACAGGGAATTAGTTTGAAACTTAAACTGTTGTGAACTAGGGGGGTGAAAGGGCCGCAAAGCCAGCTGATCTGACATGGAGCCGCATACCTTGGGGATTAAGTAAATATGTACTGTAGAAAACCAAACCTGCATGTAATTCCAGGTTGCTTTTGTTTTGTTAAATACTGCCCTGAGATTTACAATTCCTCAGGGGTGGCTCTGACTGGGACTGAACTTTGGAGCCTGAACTATCAGCCAAAGCTGATCCGATTAACTCTTCCCTAGCCGGGCTGGCCGGAGCCCGTGGTGGCCAAGCTAGCGGGGATCTGGCTGTCCAGGACTCCCTCTTCTCCTTGGGTGGTTTGGACAGCTGCTTGACCTTGCATTTGGAGGGGGAGTTCGGAAGTGTTTTTAACCCTTGGACACACCAAATAAGGGGAAGTAAGAGTTGTTCTCAGCAGTTTCATTTCCTTGAGGCGATGCCCCATAAAAGGGCTCCTGAGGCTCTTTGAGAAGGGGTCTCAAAAGGGCAGATGAGGTTGTCCCTTGGGGGGGGGATGTGGGGTTTGGGACAATTGCATGTGATTGTCATTCTTTAGCTGTCTGCATCCCACAGAGACTTTCTTCTGAGTCTTCCAGCTGGCCCAAGTCCTGGGTCTCTTTTACTGTTCCTGTAGCTGACTGCAGTAGGCAGATGAGGAACTCTTAGTCAATCTGGAAAAACTTGACTGACTATAAACAATCCTAAATTGAAAGAAGTGTATGGCACTGGGGGCTGGGTGTGATAGCCCAGAGTGGAGCCTGCAAGCTCACACACCGGGGAACCAAACCCCACCTAACTTGGACTGGACGTCCTCTTCCAGGGAATCCAGCCAGAGCCAATTAGAAATATGTCTGAAATTGGTGTCAGGGTCACCAAAAACAAAAACAGGATCCATGGGGGCCTGTGAAACTCTGAGTGCCATTCATGCTCGGTTCAGTCATCCAACTCATCAGGGTGACCAGCAGTGCTCCCTGTAACTCGTCATTATCTGGCCAATTACTGGAGCTACTTTATAATGAGGCTTCTGTTTGCTGTCATGGTGGGGAGTTTGGAATTGTGGCTTCTTGCCTGAGACCAGAGAGACGACTTTGGGACAACCCCCAGAGCCAGGAGTGTTTTGGGGTTGGGAACAGAGGGTCAAGTGTTGAGGGACTGGGGGATTTATGGGTTGGGGACAGGTGTGAACAGTGGGGCTTGGGGGTGGCCCAAGAGCACTGGACCAGGGAGGGCCGGTGCTACCCGCAGCGTGCAGTGATATGAGGCGAGGCGGCGGTGCAGATCCACAGATGACGTCCCTTCTCCTCTTGCATCTGAGCACTTCCCAGACTAGATTCCGGTGGGATTGGATCTGGAGAGGACAGACCCCCAAAAAGAAAAAAAAAATTAAAAATAGAGTACCAGAGTCCCTGCAAATAGCTGACATGTCCAGGAGTTACCTGTTTATTTGGGAAGGAAGGAGAGTTGACAACCCAGTTTCCCATAATGACCTTGAGCTAAATAGGATTTGGCAATATTTGTGGGTGGTGGTGAGCCTTAAGGTGCAAACGTGGCCCAAATAAGCGAGGGTTTTTCTTAAAGGGTCACTAAGGCTGTAAGAACTGGAAAGCTTCTAATCAGGACACATCTGTCCTTACCCACAGTGCATCGTGGCAAACTGAGGCAGGGCCAGTCATGGTTAGGGTCTCCAGGCATAAAGTTCTGGCTTTTTAATTTTCTATGCCCTCCTAGAATTCCCAACACAAAAGCATTCACAAAGCTTAAGCGTGTTCCCTTCCCTCCAAGGGAACTCACTTCTGGCTAGTGGTCAGCCCAGGCTTCAGTCTTTGAGTTTGACATGGTGTTAGCAAGAGCCCCTGGGAGCAGAAGCGGACCGTTCGTTTAGAAGTATTTGTCGTGACCATTCCAGCCTTTGATTTGGTATCAGGCAAGTGGCTGGACTAGAGTCTTGGGCCATGATTGCAAACCTGGGGAGGTGAGGCAACATACATGGGCCAATACCACATCAGGAACTCCAGGACCTTGGCCGGATGCAGTGGCTCAAGCCTGTAATCCCAGCACTTTGGGAGGCGGCAGAGGGTGGATCACCTGAGGTCAAGAGTTTGAGACCAGCCTGGCCAACATGGTGAAACATTGTTTCTACTAAAAATACAAAAAATTATCCAGGCGTGGTGGTGAGCACCTGTAATCCCAGCTACTTGGGAGGCTGAGGCAGGAGAATTGCTTGAATCCAGGAGGTGGAGATTACAGTGAGCCGAGATCGCGTCATTGCACTCCTCCTGGTAACAGAGCGAAACTCCATCTCAAAAAAAAAAAGAAAAGAAAAGAAAAGGAAAAGGAAAAGAACTGAAGGACCCATTTCAGAGAAGTAATCTGAGAGGAGGAATTTCAGGGAGATAGGATGGGGACTGGCTTAGAGTTCTGTCTTGCTATCAGTGAATGTACACCCAGCCAGGCTAGCCCTGTGAGTAGATTTATGAATCCCATTCTCCAGCACTTCCATTCAGCAAGTCCTGTGTCCTTCCCATCTCTAGCCCTGGGGCCAGCCCAAGTTCCTAAGTCCCTTGACGCAGTCTCTGAGAGACCTAGCTCAGCAAGCCCGCCTGGGGTGTCTGTTCAGTGTTTGGTACAGCTCTGGGCCTGTGGGGAGATGCAGCAAAGATGAAGAAAACCTAGAGCGTGGCCAGGTACTTACAGTGAAGGCACAGGTGACCATGTGTATGTGCTTCCTATGGTTACCATGACAAATTAACACAAACTTGATGGCTTACCACGACAAAATGTATTCTCTGGTGGTTCTAGAGGCCAGAAGTCTGAAATCAAGGCGCCAGCAGGTTCCTCTCCACTCAAAGACTCTAGGGGAGGATCTTCATCATCTCTTGCTGCCCCTTATGCCTCCCGATGCTCCTTGGCTGATGGTAGCATGGCTCCGATCTCTCCTTTCGTTATCACGTGACCTTCCTCGCTGTGTGTGTCTGGGTCCCATCATCTTTTTTTTTTTTTGAAACAGAGTCTCGCTCTGTCATCCAGGCTAGTGTGCAGAAATGTGATGTCAGCTCAATGCAACCTCCACCTCCCGGATTCAAGCGACTCTCCTGCCTCAGCCTCCCAAGTAGCTGGGACTACAGGCGCCCGCCACTATGCCCGGCGAAATTTTGTATTTTTAGTAGAGACGGGGATTTCACCATGTTAGTCAGGCTGGTCTTGAACTCCTGACCTCGGGCAATCCGCCCACCACAGTCTCCCAAGTGTTGGGATTACAGGCGTGAGCCACCGAGCCCGGCCCATCATCATCTTATAAGGACACTGGTTATTGGATTCAGGGCACATACTAAATCCGGTGTGACTGCATCTCAAGATCCTTAACTAGTTACAGCTCCAAAAACTCTCTTTCCAAATACGGTGATGTTCTGAAGTTCTGCATGGGCATGAAGTTTGATGATGCTGTGCAGTGGAAGCACAGAGGAGCAGTTAATTTATAGCAAGCGCTCATGAAAGGCTTCGTGAAGGAAGGAGCCTTTGACTGAGCCTTGAGGAAGGTCAAGAGTTTCAACCAGAAGGGGTGTGACAAGGGCAATCTAGGTGCAAGAAACAAACCACCTGATCAGAGACTACCCGGGCCGGGCGCGGTAGCTCATGCCTGTAATCCCAGCACTTTGGGAGGCCGAGGCGGGTGGATCACAAGGTCAAGAGATCAAGACCATCCTGGCCATCCTGGCCAAACCCCGTCTCTACTAAAAATACAAAAATATTAGCTGGGCCTGGTGGTGCATGCCTGTAGTCCCAGCTACTCAGGAGGCTGAGGCAGGAGAATCACTTGAACCCAGGAGGCGGAGCTTGCAGTGAGCCAGGATCGCCCCACTGCACTCCAGCCTGGGCAACAGAGTGAGACTCCTTCTCAAAAAAAAAAAAGGACTCTACCTGGCTGGAATTGAGGGAGAGAAGTGGAAAGGGAAGCAAGAAAATACCACATTGTGGGATAGGGAGGTAAACAGGGAGTTTACATCTCAGACTCTGTGTCAGGTCAGTGCTGTTGAGAATAGGAAAACAGAGAAAGAAGA